CAAGGCCGTTGAGGCACCACCGCTTTCCAGGGGACCCAGCGCTTTGCTCAGCACCCTCTGGTTTAGTTCATTTAATCCTACAAAACCCCCCACTTTAGAGTTGAGAAATAAAGGTTAGAGGTCAGGGCACTTGCTGGAGATCAGACCATCCAGACTGGCCCAGCTGGGGAGTGGGGGCAGAAGGAGGTGAGATCCCCCTGTGTCCCCTGGGAGCTCCAGAAAGGTCTGTCCTGGATTTTTCTCAATCCCAGATCCAATTCTCCATGGACGGGTGGTGGCAGGGTCAGATGATCCCCTATTAACCCTGTTTAGTTTTCACAAGATCCCTGCGAGGAGTGTTCTTGTCACCACGCCAGATACCCAAGGCTGCCTTCCAGAAACCGCTGTCCATCCCAGGAGTTCTTATCAAACTCCAGACCCTTTCTCTGGGGTTGCACAGCAGGTGCTCAACAGCTGTTTGTTGACTGACTAACTGAGCACCCAGAGAGGCGGGACCATATTTAGATAGCTTCAGTGGCAGGAGAGCCTGGTAAGGTTTAAGCCAAACAGCCGGTCAGCCAAGTAGCCAAGTGTGGATACTAAGGTGCAGGTACCCACAAACCCTCAGAGGCAGAGGGGGAAAGGGGATTCCTGGCTCCCTTTCTCTTCTGACCCAGTGGCTGGCCTCCTCCCCACATGACCTGGCCATCTGGATTCCCAGTAGGAGGGAGTTCCCAGTGGATTTCCCTGCTGACACATGTAGGGCAATTAGGATAGCAAACCTTGGCAGGGGAACCACAGGCCAGGCTTGGGGTGCTCCCCGCCATCCGGCTGCTCCCCCCACAGTCAGTGGAAGGTGGGTGCTCCCAGGACCAGATGAGGTCACTGATAACCTTGGAGGGGCTTAGCTCAGTCTTACCTGTCTCCCCTCATTTCTCAAACAAATAAAGCCCTTTGTTAGGTCCAGATAAGGGCCACGTGCCCGGCGCCTCACTTTTGGGGGGATATATATGGCTTTACAAGTACCAAGACCATTTTTTGGTTCTTGTTACAAACCTTACCTATTTAGTCTCTGCGTTTAGCCCAAAGTAGATTTTTTTTTTAAAAGATTTTATTTATTTATTTGACAGAGAGAGGCACAGCGAGAGAGGGAACACAAGCAGAGGGAGTGGGAGAGGGAGAAGCAGGCCTCCCGCCGAGCAGGGAGCCGGATGCGGGGCTCGATCCCAGGACCCCGGGACCATGACCCGAGCCGAAGGCAGACGCTTAACAACTGAGCCACCCAGGCGCCCCTAGACCTGGGCCTCTTAACCAGAGGGTCCCCGACAGAACTCAGGGGGTCCATGAAACTGCACGTGGAGAATTCCATCTTCCTTCTGTCTGGTTGGAATGTAGCAGTTCCTTGGCTTATAGATTATGGGGGGTACGCCATCTTACTCCCCCTCTTACCGGTGGCTTCGCCAACAATGAGAGTCACACACATTTTCATTTCACTTTACAGTTCTCGCAGGTATTTAAACTTACCACGCACGCTCATCGCTACTTTGAAATTTCAGGAGTTACGAGGCCGGCTGCTGGCTCTTGTTATTTAATGCGTGAATAAAGCAGCACATTTATAACCAAATCACCACTTGTTTTATTACCAAAAAATATGAGCAAAAATATTTTGGTAACTGTTTTCAGTACAGTTGGTTCAGTTTGTGATCTCCTATATTTTTATCTTCTGCACTTAAAAACGTTATTCCGGGTAGGAATCTGTGGGTTTTGTGCCACGGCAGGAATCAGTTAAGAAGCCCTGGTCTAGATGGAGGCAGGTCCACCTCACCAGCCTGTCTCCACGTGGGGACACGATCCTCCACCTCCTCCACCACAGTCCCATTACTGAACACGTATGGATTGGGGTCCTACCACCATAAGCACGTGTAAGGACATAATGTGGTGTGATTGCTCGGGGGACGATGTGGGGCACATCATTACGCAAATGACTCCCGAAGTTACAATTGCAGCGCATGCTAGGATGACGAACTTATTCTGGGGCGCTGGCCTTGTAACACCCTCTCTCTGACAGTCCAGTGAGACCAACCAGCATGCTGCTCAGTGGGTCTCTTGTCTGCTGTGGCCTGTGGTATCCCAACTTGGCCAAAATTCCCCATAGAACAGAATGCAAATGAAGAGACATCAAGCATGGTAGAATGGGGTAAGCAGCTGGAGAAAAACGCAAGTTCTAGTCTTACTGCTTCCTCCTGGGAGGGGCCGTTCTAAGGCTAGAAGGAGAGACTGCAGAAGAGCCCACTCCGTTTTAAAACCGCCTGCAGATACAGCCTGTGGCCCCCATGTTCTTAGCCCCAGACATAGTCACTGTGCGTCTCACTTTTCCTTACCAGGGAGAGAGACTGCTGTGCTGCTTTCTGTGATGAGATGGCTATGGTCTGTAGCTATGGTCTGTAACTCTTTTTTTTTT